CAACTCCTACTTGGCTCAGCAAGAAGGTTACAATCGGTTTGAAGTCAGTTAACAAATGTTTAAGGCAAATGAAGTCTCAGCACTATCTGCTGGCAGCTATGCCTTCAACATAAATAGTGGTGTAGATACGCTACAGCATTGGGATGCTTTATGCAAATAAAAAAGGTCGTGGTTTTTTGCGGGGAATAGGAGCTAAGCCACCAGTTGGAGTCAAACGTTGAACGATATTTTTTTTATCCTTTCTATCGAGTCGCTCAGGTAAACATACCCTTTGAATTCTATAGCATAGCGATCGAAGGGCTGTTCGAAAAGTCTCCGTCAATTTTGGCAGACCTAATTAAATGCTATAGTTCTGAATTAATTCCTAGCGAGCTGCTGCAACTGCCACTGAGTCTGGGTTTTCTCAGTGATGTCCTAAATTTGTTGCTGTCGCTCTTTACATCCTTAAAGCATCACAGCAGCAAACTCCCTTTGATGAGGATGCATACATCCTCATCAAAGGGCGTTTTGCGTGCATTTCGTATTTTCGCCAAAATCAGCCCGAAGATTGACGCGATCAGGTCGATGTCAACTATGAGTTTGGCCTAGAATTCCCAAAAAAAAATGCTGTGCGGCAATTGTTCAAATAGCTATTCTAGAAATTGCTAAAGCCTCCAAGATGATGAGGATGGATATTGGATATTGAACATAAATAAAGATAAATCTAGAAGTTTCATCGAACCCTATCCGTAAGAAGTAAAGTGGACCTTGTTACTGATTTAGAATAACTTTCTTGTGACTTTAGAGTACACTTGGGAGGCTGAAAAACGCGGAAAAGTCAACCAGCGGGCGCTGCTGAAAATTTCGGTTTCGAGCACTCATCCACTCCTCCTTCTATTCAATGAAAACGACCTGTTTTGTTACTGAATCATGAATATGTGGCCAAGACTTGCCAATGACTGAAGAACCTTCGCTGAAAAGTTCGATCAAGATAACGTTAAAGATTTCCCCAACACTGGAAATGCAGAAACTCAATGCTGTGATGAGTGTTACAAGGTTCGCCGCAGGCGCAGCCTTTCAACTCGCAAGGGTCAAAGTTCACCAAAAAAGGGTCGCGCTCATCCAACTGGCGGAAACTTCTTGAACAACCCAATAGAAAGTACAGTATTTTGGGAAGAGCGCTTCTTTGTCGAGGATGACTTCTTGATGACGAATTTCGGGAAACGCGATGTTGATCGTCTTTTTTCCCATTCCCGCCTTTTTTGTGTTCTGCAGAGCTGATTTTTAGGCTGATATCAGAGAATTACTAGTATCCTGCACAGAGTTTCTTTCATTTCCGTGAGTTTCAAACCGTTTGCAGGCGCAATATATAGCTGCTGGGATGGAATCAGTTGGGAAGCAGGTTCAGCCTTTCAAAAACCCACAAGCCACCGGAAGTGCAGCATATGTGACAAAGAACGATATTCCGTCTCATATTGTCAAATTCGTGAACGATTTCATGATTGCCGAGAATGTAAGTTTCTCATTCTTTGAATGACACAATGATGCTCACGTAATTCTGTACTGACGCGTAATTTTCAGATTAGCGGTACTCGGTGTAGCCAGTAGAACAAATGTATGTATCTTTACTGAAATATAGGTTCTGCGTACGTTACTCACTCCCACACCGTATGTGACATCTAAAAGGCGATGAGTCAGAATCCTATCGGCATAATATAAAGCCCTCTTTCGTACAATCACTTCACAGATGAAAAGTTTACAACTTAGCTAAAAACGAAATCACGCATTTCGAAGCAACGTTTTGCTATAAGAAGACAGTGTAACCTTTCTTCATCAATTTTCACGTAATTCGAAGAGGAATGTGGCATACAACTTATATTTCCTTCAGGGTACCTCATCTCTCACTGTAGACGAGCATTATCCTGAATTTACGAGCTCCAGCTGTGGTGTCGGCTCATACATGGATACCGAGGATGGGACTGAGTTCCATGCGGTTGAAAAACCCTCAGACTTCAAGAAGGAGATCTCTTCGATTATAAACTCTATAGAGGAGCCCACGCCGGTATGCGCTATATGTGGGAACTTCAAATGCCACGGAGAGAGTTAGGACTTCGTCTCCGTCACAAGTGCACAATGCGATTTTGTTCGCAAGTTTATCGGCAGCTGGGTGTTGTCGTTTGAATGCGAAAGCTGTTTACGACAGTTGCAATGAAGGCGGAAAGATTCTGTGCGGTCGTCATTATGCTGTAGCGGTGAGTTCCATATCTTCGTAATATTGAAATTTCAAGTGAAATAAGTTCGCTCCTGTGACACAAAGGATGAAATATGTCATTGATCGGACCGGGGTGAAATCTACATAGAAAGGAACTCAGTGCGTATGCTTGTACTGGAAATTGGTGTCCCACCACTTGGCAGTGGGCGCTAAGGAAACTATCACAGAAGGCGGCCTAATGGGTTAGAGATAGCGCTGTCACTTAAAGCACAAAACGGCTCAAAATCCTGTTAGTGGGTTGTGGAGAAAAATGAAACATGTTCTCCCATGCCCAAATGGAATAACTTGCAAAAAAAAAGAAATATTGATGTAAAGCTATCCTTGGTGCTGTTTGTTCTTCGGTATCAATATTGACTCTTTCAGGCGCAATATATAGCCACCGAGATGGAATCGATTGGGAAATCGCTTGCTAAATTTAGGGACCGAAAAAATTTTCAAGGAAAGGCTTATGTGACCGTATACGAAATACCATCTAAGGTCGTGAAATTAGTGAACGACTTTTTGGTTGCCATGAAGGTAGGTATATATCTTCAAGTCTTACATCAATTTACGCTAATTCTGCGCCCGTTTTTACTTGAGTATTGATTTTTGCCGAAGCGCAAAAGCTCATTTTTTGAATTTCTGCGCGTTTTATCATGCTTTCGACAACTGCAAGCATAATGTAAAACAGTAGATAGATACTGGACGACTTATTATGCTAACTCTTCAAGCATAAGCTTTACGAGCTGCTCTTGATAGCGGAGAGATTTAACACGTTGACGACAGGCTGACGCGCAAGCGCGTCAGAACTTTTGCACCGCATCGGACATTCTGACGCGCATGCGCGTCAGAACTATGTTGTTCATTTTTAAAGTGCTTGCGTTCCTTCTTCTC